GATTTCAAGGTGACAAGAAAGTGGAAGCGGACGACGATGAAATCACGGCAAAAACGATGTCTGAGTGATTGAACCGAACAATTGCTAACAATAAAAAAGGGCTGATTAAGAAGAGACATGATGATGACTAACATGAACAACTAATCAACATGAACTATATCCGAGAAGAAAATACTAGCAAAAGTGAAGGAAAAAAGAATGACATTGACATTTGATGTGGAGCAAAATCACCTGGAGAAGTCGCTCAATTGCAACGATGGAACGAATTGCCAGCTGAAAACATTCTAACGCCAGTAGTTGTCTTCGAGTTCTTATATCAGCACAAAGCGGTCAGTCAACTAATTTCCGACAATGTCACATTTTCTGTTGTCGGAGAAGAATCCAAGTGGCAAATCAGCAAACATTCCTCCGATACACAAGGGCTGGTTAGTGATTGTTTCTCGTGAAGACTAGGAACACTCCATCCCTCTTTTCTCAAATGCCCAAGAAAACCGCACTGAAAATGATATTCGCCAAGCCAATATAGATGATAGCTTTTGAAGTGCAGAAGAAAGAATTCATCTGGTCGATGAACATCTTGAAAGAAGACTCGAAGATAATGAAAGAAATAGAAAATTGTTGGAATACGCGAAACGTTTGGAGACGGTCCATCTAGATACCTGAGCGATAATGACTACATCGTGGAATGTTACCGGAATGTAATCAGGATGGAAGCAAGAAGATAATAGTAAAGTTCAAGCCTTCACTATAACACTGTCCCTATAATCGGCGCTGTCTAAGGAGGGCTGCTCTGTTCGGCAGCTGGAGGCACGAGAAACCCAGTTTGCCTAATATAAAGCTCATCTATGACGAATTTTGTTCGGGGTAATCCAGGTGATGGTAATTTCTCGATCATTAGAGATTTCGAAGAGCCGCAGAGATCACAGATGTTTGAAGAGGCTTCACTCTATTGTTGCTCTAGGTTCTTCATTAATTCTGACATGTCGATTTTGGGAAAAAAATTCTTATTTGAAGTAACTCAGATCTCACGGATCCTTACTTTGGGCTGACGACAGAGCGAGGGCCTTTGTGCTGTACTGGTGGCAAACGCATTAGTATGAGCTGGATGCAGCTTCAACTCCCACCTGAGGCTACCAGCCTTCCATCTCACCAGCACTCGTTATTGAAATACTTTCCAAAACTACTTTTTGATACAATCTGGAAGAATGTTTAGAGCTTTTTGAGGTTAAATCGTTAGAGTCATACGTACGTTTTGGCGGTCCCACCCGCTTCACCATGGTCCACGCTCCATATTGAATCCTACTTTAGGGCAAGATTGGATAGACGTTATTTATGGTGATAGCGGATGATATTATGCTACTACCATTTCCCAAAAGGGTTTTTTTTTGTTTAGTAACGCAGATTTCCAAACTTAATCCTTACGCTGAAAAGCATTTTATAAAGAGTGCAAGTCATGATTCAAAAGCTGAAATTTCTGGCTAGCGCTGTACGCAGCCGGTTCCTTGCAAAGACCCTATTTCAAAGCCGTAAGAATCAAAGTAAGATTACGTTTCAAATCGGCTGCGCAATTCAACTATTATTTCGTTGGAAGCACGAAAAGCATATTAACTTTTAGAAAAAATCTTTTAGAATCAGAGTCAGACGATTAATCTGGAGTTTCTTTCGAAGCCCAAAAACAATTTCTGATTGATTAGCAAAAATTCCACTTTCCCATGGCCTGCGGAGCAACATTCACCCTGCACCCCTAGAATCGCCAAAGTCCCCTTGTAGGCATATGTAAATTTGATTTTACTTTACCTGCTGCACTACAGAGAAACGGTCTTTTCAGAAAGTAAGCACAACGTTGAAATCTTTGAATCTTGCGCTATCGAATGATTACTAAAAGCCTGGAGAAAAAGCTCTGTCCTGCGAGAAATATGTGCTTGTGAAGCACAAATGTTTTCCTTTCATTGAAGTGTTATATAGCTGTTTCAAAACCGGCCATGTACGGAGCTAGCAAGAGTTTGAGCTTTGAGTGATTACTTATACTTTTCATGAAAAGTTCTTATCCAGCTTAGGGGACAAGCTTGAAGATCTGAGCTATCAAACGGAAAAGCACCCGAAAAGTATCGAGAAGAATTAAACATGCATTGAATATACATATTCGCTACCAGCAGTAATTCATCGACTGAAAAAATGGCAATAACACAATATCATGTTACCTATCATCACAAATAACGTCTCTCCCGCCCTGCTCATAAAATAGGGTTCATTGTGGGGCGAGGGCCACTACTGGTGAAGAGGACGATGGCGCTTAAACGTACGTACTCTGACGTACCAATCTGGAAAAGGCTCTACACATTCTCAAAGACTATACTGAATACATTTTATATTTATTATTTGAGCCAACATGTCATCTAGTCTGTTAATGGGCTCTTGTACAGCCCGATACACGTGTTTCGACCTTACAGTTGTCAGTCAGGCAGAACCCCTTGTCTTTAGCCAGCCCTCTCGGGAGTCCCTACTCTCCCTATAAAGAGGTAAGCGATGACGAACGATTTGCACAAATGCCGCCGAAGTGAAAAATCACAAGATCGGCAATTTTTGACACTTGATTGCTCTTATCTGGTATTTTTGTGATATTATACTTCATATTTCGAGTGTTTTATCAAGACCACGTTCAAATTTCAAATATCTCATTATTATTATTTGAGCCAACATGTCATGTGGTCTGTATCGGGCTATACAAAAGCCTATCAATAGACCACATGACATGTTGGCTCAAATAATATTTATGAGGTATATTGAAATTTGAGCGTGGTCATAAAACACTCGAAGTAAAAGGTATACTATATTGAATATTTAAAGCGAGGTTTAGAAACAGCCGATGAGATAAATTCCTACTATTTTTTTGATTTTTTTGAAAGATGCAAGATCAAAAGAAAGAAAAGAGTGTGTGAATTCTTGTCGGCTCTCATCAACAACTGTTTTGTGGCAGATGATATCGCATAAAATCGCCCTCCAAATACTGAATTTTTGGATTTTTTATTTTTTTGTCAAGAGTTTTGCGTAGAGGTTTGGCAGAAATAACTGCCACGTGTGTGTAGAAAATCTATTCTCGTTGAAAGTGTGTAAAACCATGATGTTCAACAGGGATAAGTCGGGTGAAATATGAGCCAAGAAGACGAAAAAAATTAGAAAGAAACATTGTTCAGGAGAACGGTAAACGAGGACAAGCTGTCACGACATTTCTGCATCACTTCCGGTTGAAGAACGTTTTCGACTGAGTAATCACTAGCGAATTTACGGAGCACTGACGGAGATTAGAGGGCAGGGGTCAACGGACGAGGAAAACTCTTAGGTTGCCATGAACCCATCCGTCCATCCCATCCATCACGGGTCACCACCGCACCGCCATCACTCCTGCAGAGAATCCAACGATTCCGAGGATTCAAAGCGCAGAAACACATTGACATTATTTGAAGACGAAATGGCCGTTTGATTCTTTAACGAGAGTTTGATCATCTGTAACACCTCAGTAAACAAGCAATTACAAATAGATACGTCAGCTGAGAATAAATCGATTGGGATTGGAACTGGTTGAGAAGTTTTCCATACGGCCAAAAACCTCCCAATCAGAGAGATTGTTGACATTTTCCATTCAGATTCCGATTTCTTCTTTACGTCAAACGGTTTCACCTTTTTGATTCTTTCGGCTCACTATCCATTCAGCACCTGTTTCTAACGATCACACTTTAGAACCCTATAGTCAGCCGTCTTCACTGTGTTTTCTCTACAGTGTGCGGATCCCAGTACTTCTAGCATTCAGTTCGCGGTTTCGTCTTTTTCTTAAAAGTCGTAGAGTACTGGCTTAGTGAGTCTCCTTGCAATCTGAAGGATAGCCTGGCTTGTGGCGCTTCATAAGGCGTTGTTGTGGCTCCTAGTTTCTATTCGAGTTTAGGTCAATTAGCATGAGAAAAAATGGCTTTCAGCGAAGAAAGGCCCATGAAAAATAGAGAAAAAGTGTGATCGAATGAGAAAAAGCTCTATAGCGAAAAAAAATGATTCTCAGAGAAAATATGGCCTAAGAAAATCGAAAGAGTGTAGATCAAATGAGAAGCTCTACGGAGAAAAAAAGACTTTCAGCGATTATGTGGCCCATGAAAAAATAGAGAAAAAGTGTGGATCAAATGAGAAAAAGATTTTATAGAGAAGAAATTGATTCTCTGAGATATATGGCCCAAGAAAATTGAAGGATGTAGATCAAATGAGAAAAAGCTCTACGGGGAAAAAAAGATTTTCAACGAAACACGGCCCATGGAAAATGGAGGAAAGTATAGATCAAAGGAGGAAAATCTGTGTAGAGGACAAAAGTGACCCTCAGCGGAATATTTCCTAGGAAATAGAAGAGAATGTAGATCAAGTGAGAAGTAGCTCTATAGAGGAAAAATGACTTCCAGAGAGATATGGCCCATAAAAAACGTGTAGGTAGTAGATCAAAGGAGAAAAATCTCTGGAAAAGGAAAATTCGGCGATTTTTCACTGATCATGTGGATGAGAGATGAGGACTTGAGATGAGTCTAGAGACGGTCAAAGAGCGGAGGGATGAGTGATGGATGAATGGCGACGGATCCATCCGGACACAGAGAGAGGATCGTACGCTAGCCGGTCGGTGATGAACAATAGGGGATGGCGCCGCCATACACCATGAGTAATCGTTCGATCCACGATCGATAGACCGTCACCACCCACATTGGCGATGAAACTTGGCGCCAAGCGGCGGCGGCGGCGGGCGGAAGTCAGTGGTGGCGGCGGCCGGCGGTGGCTGGCTGGTTGTCTGTCGTCAGGTGATTCGAATTCGGCAATCGGGTGTTTTCGATGAGTCATCAGAAAAACAGCTGACAGAACTCGATGATATGTCTCTCTATAATCTTCTAGAATTCCTCATTTTACCGTTTTCCTAGCAGTGTTATGATATTTCAGCGAACTATCCATGGATGCTAAGTGATCAAGAAACTCCGGACCATAGCTGGGAGTCGAACCCACGCTACATTCATACCGAGAACATGCGCTACCACTACACCACTGTGGCCACCGTTATGCTACGGCGCTTTTGCTCTTCAAAATATACTGCGTTCTTCTTTGATAGAAGCGAGATTGCTGCTTTACAAAGTTTTCTCATCTGACTCGCTTTCATTACTGTAAGAGAGTGATGGCAGAACTAAGGTCTTGGAGGTGTAGTGATAAGACGAGCTCCTCTATTGGCGATACGCGGGTTCAACTCCAATGTGAGATTCAAACTTATGTGTATCAGTCAATATACTTCGATTATAAAATCATGACACTGTTATGAAGGCGCCATTTGAAAATTTTTTCAGATCAGGCGTGGTGTCGGTTGCAATTTCAGTAATTTCTGGCTTCTTTCCCTCGTTAATGAGCTGAATACTGAAAGGGCACCGCTTCCTATGAATCCCGTGATAAAGACTAAAATTCTTCTGACTCTCAAAAAATTGTACATCTTTTTAGTGTTCACTACAAGTTTTGTAAAGTACAGGGAGGTCTGCTGTCATATGGCTAGGCTTTTTTCTAGATCGGCAATGATTCTAAGTGATTTTAGCTATTGTAAAAAGATGAAGGAGTGGCTACGGATTGGCAAAAAAGGACGAGGAAAAACATAAGGTGAAACGTTTTCAAAGAAAATCTCCTCTATAATCTTATCACAATAAAAGTCTTAAGCTAATGTGATGACCTCGTTTCGTCCTCGTTCTTAAAATCAACAGGTCACAAATCAGTTGCCCCCTTCAGAACGGGGCCTTTTTCGCATTTTTTCCTGCAGAGGTGTAGTACTCGTTTAAAAGCTAAATCTCGGTAATGTCAGTAGTGTATTACATTAGTGAAAAAAAATTTTCACTAGCGTTTATGGCAGCCGAAAGAATATCACGTTTCACTTTCGGCGTGCATTTTTGCTCGGCTAGAGTTTGTAGACGCTTTTCAACAGAGTTTTGGAACTTAACGATAGCCAAAAAAATGAAAAATATGAAACTTAATGTGGTTTTTTGGGAAGGTCATACAGTGAGAAGATATCTACGTTTCGGACTTGGTGATATACGCCCAAAAGCATATGGTCGCTTACCATATAGTGGAAAATCGTGCTCTACCAGAATGTTCGATTTTTATGAAATGAAGAGAAAATCTCAAAGAAATAACTATAATCACGCGCCTAGTCGAATCGTGCTGCGCGCAGCGATATTTTGTTTGACAATTTCGCCTTCGTTTTGGAACAATTTCAGGTTTTTTTTATATTAGGACTGTAGAATGGACTTTGTTCAATCATTCTATAGTATGCCAGCCTTATTTTCTTTCCGTATTGCCGCTATAAAGTTACGGAGAACTCACTGCGAAATTTAAACTAGAAGCTAACTACTTCGGGTGTGAAACCTGATCTTCTTTTGTTCTTACAGCATTGTAAAAAAGCCTTTTTAGAACCAGTTTTGGCTATAGAATCGTCAATATTTAAGCTATGAAACGACTACTGAATTTTTGCAAGAAAAACATTTACAGGCCTAGTCGAGCATTCAAGGCTAACTAAGTGTAAAACATGTTTATTTTCGGTGTAGATCTTTCTGATAAGAAAGATTCAGAATCCAAACACATAACTGAAATCGAGGAATCTAACCTCCCGAATAGTTGTCTAGAGTCTAAGGAAAAAGCTTCTTTCCCCTAAAAAGGGTCTCCCGGAAACTGTGTTTTTTTTAGATATACACCCTCTCTAAAGGGTCAGGCAGACCTAGAAGCTCAATTCTCTATTTGATCTTCGGTCTTATAGACTAGAGGCGAAACCGCACTCTCCACAAGACCGTTACGCTTTGAAGTAAATTATAACGCTTCTTGATACCATTATAGCAAACCTTGGAAACTTCCTTGATGATTGTCACCGCTTTTATCACTGTATGAAAAAGGAATGCGGGTAGCGCAATGATTGGAGTTAGCATGTAACGCATGCACTGTCTCTCTTTCGACCTCGTCAGACGCCGTTCAACGATTGCATTACTTTGATGTCGGTAAATAGGCACGAGCCATCTGGAAAGAGCTCTTTCGATCCACAAAGTACAGCGAGTGCGTGTGGGCAGAGATAGGCTGTGAACGCACAATTTGAAGGCGTATAAGTCGACTGGCATTATAACATTCATGAATAAGCCAACAGTGCCCAGTGATAGGCAAAAGTCTGAATCTCAGACGGTAACCAAAGCCGCATTTCAGCTTTTCTGAGAGCGCGGGCTAACCAATCGCACTATCAAGGCTCCTGTTCTGCCATCACATATGCCCAATATATCACGTGTAACCATACAGTTGCTTGGCACTGGTCTTCGGAAATCATGAAAAGCGGTTTGGAAACCCGTCCGAAGTTCAAGGTTTTGCTATAACTCAACAATATTGGATGTACACTACGGTTGGAAAGAAACTCACATGAGTGCACTCTCATGAGCACGAGATAACTCTCATGCATGTCATGGAAATATCGGAATTTCTTATGTGCGATTTTCCCACTGAAGGCCTACTTATTCACCGTCTTCATTTTCATTTTGTTACAAGTCTCCCCCATGTCCATCGACAAATCAAAATTAGGGTTTTATCGCGTCATTACTGGAGAAAAGGTCTTTCAAATCGAGCTGCAGTCGATGATATCAACCAAGTTGAAGGAGAAGGCACAACAAACAGATCTGCTGCTGGACGCTGATTTTAACGCTTCTCAATGCCAGAGATCTTGAACTCGTAGACAAGGCTCGTTCAGAGGTCCAACAAAGTTCAACAATGAAGATCAAATGATGTTACTTCGTAAGATGAACCTTGTAAACTGCTCGCGAATTGGCAACCGAACTTATTGTTTCTCATAGAAGTGTGCTAAACTTATCTCCACCGGCTTAACTTTGTCCACGAGAGGCCACAACAAGATCCGCACAAACTCACTGAAGCACGAACTTAAAATCAACTTCGATGAAGTTGAAGAAGCATATCAAGAGTTCTTTGATTCAAAGTCGATTGGAATGGTACTTCGACCAGATCCGAAAACTTGGCGGATCGATGGCAGAAGTCGTAGAAGACGAATAGTTTCATCAAACATAAATTTTCGATTTCTTGCAAGTGCCCCAGAACTTCTTTCCAACCTATTATATATAACATCATACAGCCACTTAAAGTTCAGTATGTAAAGAATTCTTGTTGATTCATGAATAGTCAGAATCCTGGAGTGGACGCAGAGTCAGCTATCATTTCGGGTCACATGAATAAGAACTAGATAGTAAAAAAAATGACTCCTCCTGAGACCAGGCCATTGTAAAGGAAAAACAAGATATCACATAGCAAACAAATCTTAATAAGAGTAAACATTTTCAGCATCACCGACCGCAGGCAGCTTTGCCGTTTCGAATACGATCCAGATATATCGAGGATCTCGACAGCTGGCGGACCGATTATATGAATCAAGACGGATGAACTATCATTCTGGTGCCAAAGTTATTGAGGTTTATGCATTGCTGGAACTTTGGATAATGCGATACATTCTGAATAAATGTGGTCTTATAACATATAGTTTTTAATGCGCATTTCACGCTCTATGTTCTGCTGCTAATTACGCACTAGTTGCTGCTTAATTTATATTTATTTTGAACCAAGATAAGGATGTTAAATTGGTGCAAAAGTAATTGCGACTTCAAATCGTAAGGTCAAAATGGATCGTAAGGCAGTGGAGACAACTCACACCATCAGCAACGCATTTCGTCCAGAAAATGCTAACGGATGCATATTGCAGCGCCAGATCAAGAAGTTTCGTAAAGGGGACGAGAACCTTGGAACTGAGGTGCGTAGTGGCCGGCCCCGGAAAGTTGATAACGACCAATTGAGAGCAATCATGAAAGTTGATCGATCCTCTCAAGATTAAGCGAGACGTTGCGGAAGAACTCAGCGTTAACTACCATTCTCGCCATTTTGGAATTATGACAGTAACTGCGGTTCCAGCATGATTTCAAACCGTGATCACTTTTAAACCAACCTCTATAAGTAAATATTAGCGAATAGGAGAGACAGGTAAGGTATACGATTTCCAAAAGAAAGGTCAGTGCAATGATTGAATGAGCATCTAGAAGCTATATCACGATTTACTTCTTTGGGGACGGCTGTTTGACAAGGTGCAGCATTGCGCTGGTCGCTTGCGCGGCATTTGACGCGGCCGACGTTGAGATGGGGTGCGTTTTATTTCCACAATTGTCTAGTTTCAGAAAGAATTTCAGACTTTTATCGCCACTAAAAAGGAGCTGGTGCTCAGTGAAGGAGATAATATCACTGAACAGGCTTCAACAGCTATTTGCAGTTGAAACAATACTAGGTGACCAGAAGAATGACGAGTAAGGAAAGACGGTTAATTCTCACAGGCAAATGATTTACGTCATAAGAGTTGGAAAAACGTTTATCTCTCGATGACGTCATCTCCCATTTAAAAACACGAAATTTTAGGACGTATGAGCGCACTTATTATTTTTAATACCTTCATTATAAATCTCCTCAATAACATGTTATCTGACCGTGAAGATGAAGTGGTCCTATTAATCAACTATTCACAAACATCAGTTATATTTGCATGTCGCTTGCAAAATTCTCCAAAGACGTGTAGTGAAGTTTTCTGCCAAGTGCCAGGATATTAGCTGTATCGATCATGGTTCGGAAAAGAAGCAAAAAAAGTGAAAAGAGTTGAATTGAAAATGTGGTTTTTCCAAAGGAATGTAGTCTTTGCATCGGGAAGATAGATTTTGACTATTGGCCATTCGTCTTTGCTCAAAAAAAAAAAACCGGTCTACAGCAGTCTCTCCAATGTATATCTATTCTTCTGAACCAATAAAGTTTGCTCAAAATTGAAACATGACCATATAATTCCAAAAAATCCGTTGTAAAGTTGAAGAGAAATCACCTTCGAACGCCGGATGTAATCTTCCTTCCGTTAGTAGATCATACTATGGAATTCTTTTTAGATACCAAGTCAAGTACTGAGGTTTCCATTTCTCAAACCATCGATTGATTAACTAAT